TTCATTCACAGATGTATGAAATATATTTCTAAATACTAGCCATTTTGCTTTTCAGTGAGGACACAGACAATAAAATAATCTCAGCTCTTTAGGAAGCGTAAATTATAAAAAGAATAATGTAATGTTATATGTAGAATTATCAGCCAAGTTCTGTAGGACCAAAGAAGGCAGTCACTGGATTATCCTGGAGATTTAAATGATTCTCCAAGGGAAATCAAGGAAAGCTTGTACAGATAAGAAAACAGAGCTCCTCCGGAATCTCCCTGGATCCCATACCAAGCCAATTCCACCGGGGCACCTCAGATGGAACACGTGGGCTCCCTCCACCCAGATGAAACCCAGTGACCACAAGCTTCCAGAAGCAAAACCCAGTATGCGGGTTCAAAGACTAAGACTCCAGGCCATATGGCAGCAGTGGATACTGGCCATCCCTTCCCGTCTCCCCGCCTGCTTGGGGTCCTGGCTTTCATGCCCACAACCTCTGGTCCCCTATTCAGTGCATCAACAGCCTTAATCCAGAGACTCCCAAATGAATCTCAAAATGGATTAGCTCCCTACAGAGATGTCTCTGGACCGCAACTATTTACAATTTTAGAATTCCGTGACCTTTCATGATATTCATAATAAGCAAAAGAAAATAAATTATCTAGTATCTGCCCCTGGCAGGCAGGCTTGAAAGGTGGTGGGGAAATTCGAAATAATGGTGGTGGGAAGGTGTAATTTTGGTGGGTTTGGTGTTGGAATATTGAATGTAATCAATGTGAACAACCTTATGAAAATTAAAAAATAAAATTCTATGGCAGGACATTTAATGAACAAAATGTGCACAGATTTATATTGTGTGATTATTATAGCACTATAGCACTGTCCTCCTGTTGTTCATCGATTTGTTCGAGCGGGCCCAGTAATGTCTCCATCGGGAGACTTGTTGTTACTGTGTTTGGCATATTGAATACATCATGGGTAGCTTGCCAGGCTTTGCCGTGCACATGAGATACTCTCAGTAGCTTGCCAGGCTCTCCGAGATGGGTGGAGGAATCAAACCGGGCTCGGCCAGGCCGGCTGTGTACAAGGCAAACGCCCTACCGCTGTGCTATTGCTCCAGCCCATGTGATTATTATTATATGAAAATTAGGTTCGGATGTTTAGGACTACCCAAGAAATCATAAAATCAAAAGCAATGGTATTGTGGAATAATAAAAAAAATATATGTTAATAAGTAAAAGCAAAAATAAGAAAAAAACAGAGCTCACCTATGTGGCCGCATAGCACCTCAGAACTTCATAGTACCATCAGCCCAGTAGGATCACAGCAAATCCGATGGAAAAGTTGCCCAGAAGTCCACCACGCTCACTGAGCCAACACACAATACGGAAGCCTCAACTCACACCAACCAGCACAGTAGGTCCTCAGACGATGACTTTAGTAATACCACTCTGAGGTTTGGTAATTCCCTTTGCCTTATGTTATAACAAGTAAATCTTTTTGCCTGCCAGGGGGCCAGCTGGAGTTGTGCGTGAAGGGAAAGGCACACTGATAGTTAGATTGGTGGTGGGATTGGTGTTGGAACATTTAAGTCCTGAAACAACTTTATTCTGAACAACTTGGTAGATCACGGTGTTCTAATAAAAAAAAGAGAGAGAGAATGAGCTCAGAGAGATTTTGCCACACAGCTGTTTTGTGGTTGAGTTAGCGTTAAAACCAGATCTCACTGCAAAAGTCCTGTTTATGCTGCCACAGGTTCTTAGACTCTCCCTTTACATTGCTTTATAATCAAATATCTATATTTGTAGGAATTTCTGAATGAGGAATCAAAGCCACAAATGTCACCAATTTCTCACGAAAGAGTGTAGGATTTGTGTTCTCTCGAGCCTGCTTTGCCACCATTAAACTGTGTGCTTATTGGCATATTGTTCCTTTTTTCTGGCATCTCTTTCTCATCTATAAAAGTGAAGAGGTTGGAATAAATCTCTCTAAGCCTCTAATTTTTTAAAGTAATGTGTTGTGGCTTCCTCCTTCGTCTCGAAGTATGAAGCATTTCCATAGGAGACAGGTTCCCTAGGGTCTTGGGAGTTCGACCATGGCTTTGGCGGAGGGGTGAGGATGGGCAGTGGGCGGGGTGGTGGGGGTGGGGGGGAGTGAGGGCTCTTGACAGCGGGTTTGAATCTCAGCTTTATCACTTACATACTGTTTAATCTTGAACAAATCACTCAACCTCATAGAGCCTCAGTTTTCTAATTTGTAAAACAGAAATGGTAATAGATGACTCAGAACTGATGTGAAGACTCAGTCAGCTTCTATGTCTAAGCCACTTTGTTCACTGTCGGCCACACAGCACTCAGTAAATGATGTCTGTGCTTAGCACGCCTGCCCTAATTTGAAGAACCAAGCAGTTTTGAGTAGCTTCAGAAGTCAGAATACTACCATGATCTCTTTTATTAATGATTTTTTTATAAAGGCACAAAGGATCCAATATGCCAATACACAGAATATGGAATTTTAGTCATTTTCCCCTCAGATGTTCAATTAAGGGGTTGGAGGAGTTGGAACAACATTTGCTGCTAAACTTTACTAATGACCCAGAAAAGACTTTCATTAATCTTGTATAATATAGAGTAAATCATTCATTCTTTTCCTTTCTGTGTTCCCAGTGCTCAGGACAGGGTAGGCACTTTGCAAATGTTTTTTGAATGAATAAATGATTTCACACTTTGTATTTAAGAGCTGGGAAGAATAATATAGCTCGTGGATCTTAGGCTGTGACATTTGTTGAGTTTGTTTTGAGGGGATTTGGGGGCATCCCATGACAATCAAAGCAGAATTCTTCTGATATCACTGTTTGACTTTCTCCTTTGATCAATAGGCTTATTATTTGCCCTTGAAACCTCTGTGGTGCTGGGGAATCACAGACATTCCTCAGGATGATTTACACAGCAATAAATAATTTGCACTGTCCGTTGCTTGCTTCATCAGTGTCTGCCCTGTTCATAAACCCCCAGAGGCTCAGTGGCCCCAAGGTTGGAGCATGGTGGGTATGCCAATGCCTGTTACAGATGTGTGCATATTGAACTTGTTACTCAGGATCCTTGTTTGCGTTGTTGCTCTAATATGCAGCCACAATTTGTCTTTAAGGATTGATGTAACTGTAGAAATTATTTCCCATCTGACTTGATTATTAGTTATTATACCATTTCTTTTTCACCTCTGTAAAAAATACTGCATATATATACATACATACATACATACATACATACACACGATATACATATTATCTCTCCAGTTACTCTGAATTAGGTGATAGACCCTTTTCATAGATGTGGAAATTAAAACCAAAGGCTCTAATGCTGCTTCTCTGAGATTGCCAAGCTTATTGGTGATGGAGCTGGCTTTGAACTCACCTCTTTATGGACAAGAAGGTCTTTACCACTTCCCATGGCATTTTCCTCATCTAAACGTCCTGCTGCTTCTGTAGGTGCCTTGTGTTTATGGTAGTTACCTCTTCCAAAGATCTTTAAGTTTCCCATACATTCCGAGATGAGTTTTAAATTTCTCAACAGCGTTGCAGATGCATGAAATTTATAGTGACAAACATAGCCAGATTACTTTCTTGTTATCCATCCATTTAGCAAATTTACAGTTCCCATTAATTTTAATCTGTCCTTATTACCTGTTTTATATAATAAATATTTCTTAGTCATGACAGACTGAGTATAGATCACCTGAAGTAGGCTTGCTCTCAATAAGCAGAGTTGTAGCTAAAGATTTGTGAATTAATTGGGAAAATTGCAAATCAGGTAGTCAGTGAAATAATTCATTGTCACATCCAATCAATAAACTTTGTAAATCAACTCATTTAATTCAAAAAATGATCTATATAGATCAAGGAACCAATTAAACAATTAGCATACACTTTGCAATTAATTAATTTAAGCATCAATCATATAATTAAAACTCCAAATTTAAGTTGCAGAATATAGAATCCTGCCTTGTGAACTGTTGGTTTGTACTTCAGAATGATCAGATCTGCAGTTTCACATTCAGCTGGAGTGAAGCAGGGGATCTGAGCATGTTTAAATTTGTCTCAGTTTTAAATTGCCTTTATGTTGTTACAGTTTCTTACCTTCCTTTATCAGAAAATTGACTTTTTACTTCCTCCAAAGGAGATGGTGTGGTTGATTCTAAACCTGGCAATGCAGGAACCTGGAAATACTGAGTGGGCATTCTCAGGGAGTGAGCAGAGCCCAGAATTGTTAAGAGGGCCATCAGGAGAAATCAGGACATTTGCTTTTACTCTGTTATCTTTGGTATTGGGGATCAGCTCCTACCAACTCAGTAATGATTTTTCAGGAAAAAAAATTATATGGTTTATCTTAAATATCTTGAATATTACCCTAAACTAAAGCAGGTGTGTGTGTTTGTGTGTGTGTGTGTATTTGAATCACTGAGATACACAGTTACAAAGTTGTTCACGATTGGGTTTCAGTCAGCGTTCCAACACCCATCCCTTCACCAGTGTACATTTCCCATCACCAGTATCCCCAGTTTCCCTCCCATTCCCCCACTCCTGCCAAAAGCAGATATTTTTAACTCTGACCATAAATCAGAGGCCTCTGATTCCCTACCCCGCAAAAAATTATTTTTTCTTTATAGTCATGTTTGTGACTGCTGTGCTATAAACTTTCTCAAGAGCTGATGAGGAATCTCATCTTTGAACTAAGGGATCAAGTTTTGTCTTTAGAGCAAGTGTTTAGTAAATATCTGTTGACTAGACCAGCATGAAGGCACTTACCTTGTTGCTCCCTCCATTTTTTCCCCACTACAGTGCCATGAATCTCCCCACCTTTATCAAATTAAGTAGAATTTAAGAGAATCTCTTGGTATGGTCAGGCTTTAGGGTAAGTAGCATCAGTGTCCCAGTTTGCTTCCTGTATAACCGTAGTCTCGGATCTCCTTGCCCCCTCTCGGTTGGTATTCACTCACCTTTTTGGTTTTCCTTTCAGTGACAATGTGAGCGCCTACTGCCTGCACATTGCTGAAGACGATGGTGAGGTTGACACAGACTTCCCCCCGCTGGATTCCAACGAGCCCATTCATAAGTTCGGCTTCAATACTTTGGCCTTGGTTGAAAAGTATTCATCTTCTTGTCTGATCCCCAAAGAGTCCCTCTTCGTTCGAATGTGAGTATCATTTCCTTTATTCTTTCATATGCCTCATCTCTACCTTCTCATATTTTGGATTTGATAGGGTTTTGTCTGTAGCATGGGTACTTGATATTCAGATGACTTCCGGAGAGATGTTGGAGTTAATACTTGCATTGTATTTTATGTCTCTGCACCCAGATTCAGTGCAGACTGCTTTGCAGTTGCAAACTGTATTGGGTATATCTATGAACCACGCGTCTGGACATACTGGGGCATTTTGGAACCTTTGAAGCCAAAATTATTGGTATCTCACTAGTCAAGGGATCCAAACTAAATAAAAACATGCACCAAAACTCTTTTATTTAGTGCCTTACACTTTTTCCTTTTATCTCCAACTTTGTTCAGATGCAGTCTGGTTGTTCCACTCAGTTGCCTGCCTTTAATAGGAACTTTTCAGGAGCCAGCAAGATACAGTTCAGGGGTTGGCTTGTACTAGCCCAACCATGGTTTGCTCCCTGACGCCTCAGGTGGTCCCCAGAGCCCCGCCAGAAGTATCCACTTGAGCACAGAGCAGTAATAAGCCCAGAGTACTGTCATGTGTGGCCCCAAAATTTAAAAACAACAGCAACAACAACTAAATACATTTAAAAAAAATAATAAAAGAACTCCTGTTATATTTAAGAAGTCACCAGTTGTTGATATCAGTAATGCGTATGGCTTTATTATTACAGTTAGTAGCCATTAGGTTCAGTGGCAGGTATCACAGTGACTTCTGAGACCTCATTCCCAAATACCCGTGAGTAGAGACGGCATTTGAGCAGTCTGCTGCTGCGGCTGGGAGGCTGTGCCTCGGTCCCCGGGTTTCTGCTCCTCACAGATCTACCACGTGTTGTCCACTGTACTCACATGAGGCGTGCTAACTATTGGGAATGGATTGGTAACAGTCTCACTGTGCTCTCTGTCCCTTTGCGTCTGCAGAGCCCCATAGTTTCGGCCACAGGACTTGGGGAGACGCACAGCGTTTTCAGGAAACCCCTCTCTCTGCTGTCTCCTGGGAACAATAGCGATCGCTCTGGCACCCCCTGCTGACAGTAAACAGCAAGTTCACACTCCAGAGGGTTTGTTGCCAAGACTTCCTGGCTCTAAAACACACGCCTTTGTCTTAGATTTTTTCTAAAAGTAGGATTAGGCTTCCTGTGATAGAGGAGGATTTGGGATCTTTCTCTCTTTGTACAAAAAAATGAGTACCTGAGTGTCTGCAAGTTAGCTTGGGGGTGGCTTCTCAAGCTTTTGTAATTATCTTTTTATCCTGCCATGAGGTGATGTTTGGCATACGAGGCAAGTGAATATTTCCCTTCTTTCTACATTGTAGAGGCACTGCAACAACCACCTTAAAGAGCATTTAAAATGATTCGAAAGTTGTCTAGGGATTCCTCTATCTTAATACAACCGTTTTCATTTTTATATAATCATTTCCATGTGCAGCATGTAAAAAAATGTATTATTTTTACTGAATGTTATATGCTGATATTTTCATATCTGTTCCTACTTACTGCAGTTCATATTTATTATGTGTCATGGATGTAGATACTCAGCCTCTGCCTCTGTTCTCCCAGCTTACTCTCTACAAGGGAGACAGTCGGGAAACAAATCATTCAGATGTGCTGAGCCATACAGTAGAAAACTATGCAGGAAGCAGTGGAATTCCATCCCAGGATAGGGAGACTATTTCTTTGTTTGTGTTTTAATAAGTGGATCCTTGATAATCTTTGTCTATACTCCTTTACTTCTGCTTAATTGCTCCTTAGGCTACTATCTCGTGAGTGGGACTGTTGGTCAGAGTAGAAACATCTGTTAATATCAATAACATCAATGTGCAGCCTTTGGGAAGATTTCCCTATGCAGTGCTCCCAAAAGAATTCATATAACTATCTTTTTCAGTTTCAGCATCACAAGGTGTCATTAGAAGATTTTTCTTTTTATTTTAAAAGAAAACAGTATTTGTATCATTCTGTGATCGATGTTTTCTGGGGCTGGAAAGACCATATAGTAGGTAAGGCACTTGCCTTGCATGTGGCCCAAAACATATTAAAATATATATATATATATATTATACACACATATAAATACATATAAAAACAGATGTTGTATATATATAGTTTCTATGTACATCTTTATTTATGAGTTAGTGACTTGGTAGTATACAACTTTTATTTTGGTTTGGTTTTTAATTTCGGGGCCAGACCTGACAATACTCAGGCTACTCCTGGCTCAATGCTTGGGGAATCTCTCCCAGCAGTGCTCAGGGAACCACAGGGTGCTGAGAATCGAGCCCAGGCCTCCTGCATGCAAAACATGCATCTCTCAGCCTTCAGCACATATTTTACTTTCTAATTAGTAAAATATGATTATAGTAGTCTTTTAAACAAAGATCCTTTGTGAAACAAATTTTTTCATTGGTGATGTTCGATAAAGTGATAGGGGATGGAGAGCCCTCCCTAAGATCAGGGACAATCCTCCCTGGGGTACAGGGACAGTCCTCTCCCCTATGGTATAGGACACCCCTCTCCCTAGTACAAGACAGCCCTCCCCAGGGTACAGGGACAGCCCTTCCCAGGAGAAACATCTGTGGCCCACAGTGCCGTGTGCAAGTCCCTCGTTTGCAGGAATGAGAAGAGGGAGGCAGAGTGAGGGCTGCTTTACCCTGAATACTCCTTTTTCCTGAATTGCTCTTACCTCTGTGTTCACCCACACATACATGCACACATATGCCACCCAGTCAATCCCCTTTCTATTTTAAAGTTCAAGAGAATTTTATTTGACGTGTCTGGAACATTTCTGAAAGCACAGGGAAACTAGCATCTTTATGTGAGCATGTCGGACAAACGTGTGACAACTTTTGTTTCCTTGGTTGTCTGAGGAAGTGGTGCAGATCACTGATCATTTGCTCTGTGTGTGTTTTCTTTATTCAAGAACCTCCCATTTGCTTTTCTAGGCTTTATTCAACATTGGTAAAACCTCTTCTGCGAGTGCAGGGCAGAGAAACTTGCAGGAAACTCTAAAGATGATGTTCAAAGTTTTGGCAGGGCAGAGTGGAAGAGAGTCAAAGAGATAGTCCAACAAACTCAATATTAGGGGCCCAGGTTCCATCTCCAGCACCACATGGTCCCTGAGCACAGTCCCTGAGCACCACCAGGTGTGGTGCAAAACATACATATATACTGATTAAAAGCCCAAAGCTTTAGAGAGGGCAATTTCAGCAAAGTAAGTGAAAATAGCTTCTTCCCCCTTTTCCTCTTCCTCTGTTTCTCAGGAGACTTGTTGGACTGAATTGGGAAAAAGAGTTAGGTTGACAGTAGGGAGTGAATTACTATTTACTAATTAAGGGCCAACTGAGTATGTGTTCTCTCACTTCATCTAAAAATAGTCCTGTTTTTATTATGACAGTTTAGAAATCTGGAAACAAGGATGATAAGCCTCGCTCTCAGGCCTGGGTTTGACACCCGCCTGACCTGGCAGTTGGCCTGATCCTCGCAGGGTGTTGGAGTGGGCTGGGGGTGGTGAGGAAAGTAGTGACCTCTGCAGCCAGCTGGGTATAGCCCTGACCTTGCCCTTAGCAGTGAGCGGATCATGTATGAATGAACTCCGTGATGGCATGTGTAAATGAAGGTAGTAATGATACTTTAGACAGCCATTGTGAGAGTGCATTAGTTAGTGTATGTGAAGAACTTAGAACAATTCCTGGTTTTATATATATATATATATTTATTTACTTTTTTCCTTTTGGGGGGACCAGGGGGCACACCCGGTGGTACTCAGGGCTAACTCCTAACCTCTGTGCTCAGGAATCATCCCTTGGAAGGCTTGGGGGACTGTGTGGGGTGCCAGGGATCGAATCCAGCTGGCTGAGTACAAGGCAAATGCCCTCCCCACTATACTACCTCTCTGACCCCCATAAAGTCCTTTTAACAGAGGGGGCAGGCTTATTTATTCCCTCCCCTAAAACCAGCACAGGCTTTGCAGCGAGGGATTGGGGACTCCAGATGTCCCGACTGCTGGGCAGAACCTCCGCCAAGCTCGGTGCCACCCGCCTCCCTTCCTCTGAGCCATTACTCTTTTCTACAACTTTGTTCCTACATTTTGACTATGTCAGCGCCCCAGTGGCCAGGCTAAGGCCCTCACACCTTCAGTGCATTATCATCCTTCCCTGCTCCAAAACTGGGGGCTCAGGCATCAGACCAAAGTGCCCCTAGATTCAGATGTCAGCCCCAGTAGTCACTGACTATCTGCTGTAGTCTCAGTTTCTTCATCTGCAACATGAGGATAATAACAGCTACCTCATAGAGTCAATTGGTGATGAATTTTCTTAAAAATAAGTTCTATATAGGGCTCGTCCTTCACACCCTACCAAGATCACGAGTTGCTCCCCACGAGCGTCTCTTCGGCACGGCCATGACTCCAGAAGCACAAGAACTTAATGCAGAGCCCGGCAGCTTGTGGTAGAAAAGTAAATGGACTATGCATCAATCCACGGTACCATGCCTGCCCGGGAGGGAAGGGGTGTCACTCCCTTCAGCCTTTTTCCCCCTGGGCAGCAAGATGGCGGCTACCTCAGTGCTTTTTTGGAAAGCCAGGTATGAGCCGGTGGTTACGAGGCAACTGAAACTTCATGGGAAGGGGGGCGTTCGCGGCTCGTCCTTCACGCCCTACCGAGGTCACGAGTTGCCCCCCACGAGCGGCTCTCCGGAACAGTCATGGCTCCAGAGCCACAGAAACCAATCTCGTAATTATCTGGCTCTTGGCAGAAATACCTCCAGGCTTAATAAGTAAAATATCAGAAATCCAAAATCGTACAGCCGCTATTGCGACATCATATGGTTCTTGTAACTAACTGTAGACAACAAATTATTTCACAGTGCCTTTTCAGCAGTTCTGATTGTTGGGTGTAAACTCTAAACAATAATGGTGCATCTTTTGTCGAAATAATGTAATCAAAGTAGATAGAGTATTAAGTAGAATTCATCTGCTTCACAGGC